GATACTACATTCTGTAAAATACCTGATGTCATGTAAGGATGGTTCTGTGTAATCTTCCTCCTGAGAGCAAAATAAAACTTTGATATGTACTGACTTTGTGCCCTGAGGCTTTTATTCCAAGAGGGACATGGTCAAGGCTGGTTGCTAGTCTCTGCCACGCGTGCCTGTGCTCCCAGGGGGATTCTCATACTGTCCCTCACCCCGATGGCTGCTCAGCCATGGCCCACACAGCTTCATGGGCTGAGACAGACCCTGACCAGCCGTGAATACAAATTGCAAAAAATGGCAACAGATGAGATCCTGCCCTTCAATTATTTATAGCCTTAGCACATCACTGAAGACGGGGGTGGTGGCAGGAGGAGAGTGCAGCAACCTGTATGCTGAGAATAGCAATGAAATCTGAGTTCAACTGACATGTGGAAAAAATAACAGGTATGTGACTTTTGCTTTAAAAGGGGTGAAAAATCAGCCAGTCCCTGCTAGCTGTTGGACTGAGAAAGTGTGTCATCACAGCAGAGGCTTAAGCACAGCACAGATGGGAGCTGAGGCAGGGACACAGCTCTCCCGGGCATCTCTTCTCCACACCACAGGCTGTGAAAATCCAGCCTTTGGAGAGAGCTTAAAATCATGGGCACTGTTTCCTATCATGTGCCTCGATCCAGGGCTGAAAGCTGGGTTATTGATCCCTATTTTCCTACGGCACAGAACTGAAATAACTGCGCCAGGCTCCTCTGGGTTGGCAGCGGGGAGGAGGGCGGCGGGTCTGGCTCGCTTGCTTATGGGTCTGCTAACATGTCCAGAGACATCAGAGGGATGAAGGGGAGGAGAGAGAAAAAGCAGAATCAAAGCATGGTCCCCTGAGCATTAAACCATCGGCTGTAGGATCTGAGCCTAGACAGCTCCAGGGCAAGTTAAGAAATATTGCTGCCCTATAATAGATCAGTCATGAATACAGACTCTCCTCCGCCTCCCGTCGATAGCTCTGCCGGGAAATCCCCAATGCAACCCAGACCTTGCCCCCTGCTCGCCAAGCCACTGTGCTGCTGAGTGCCAACCCCTCGTGCCCCGCGGCCGCTGTGGCTGGCTGCAGGGAGGGCTGGGAATGGGCAGCAGAGGAGAAAAGCGAGAGCTTTTGCATTTGCAACGGGCTTTGCATTTGCTGGCACCTTGCGACCTGCTGGAGTGGTGAGAGCTTCTCTCCAGGGATACAGGCGCGGAGACAGCAATTTATCAGTCTGGCTGCAGTGAAAGGCCAGCTAAATGTCCCTGGGTGAGGTTTGCCCGTCCCTGGCTGTGTGTGAATGCCAGGCGTGAGCTGAGAGTTGACTGCAGCAGAGCCTAACCTCAGACAGACCAGAGGGGACAGCTGGGACCTGCCCAGGACCCATGGGGAGAGAGAGCATCCTTCATCCCTCAGCCGCCTTCCCTGGGATGGGCTCGCTGTCCCCATGCCAGCCGGGGACCTGACCACTGCGCACCATCCACAGGGGCTGAGCTGAGCCGTCGGGGCTTGCTCTGGGCTCCAAAAGTGCCAATAGCCATGAAAAGCAGCACTTTGAGGGCAGTTTGCTAAGAAACAAGTGGGAGATGGGCACGCTACACATCAGAGAGGGGAATCCTAGAAGAAGGCCAAAAATGAGGCCATGGCTCAGAAGCTCATGTATGCACGGGTGTCTCTGAGCAGTGGGGAGAGGATGAAGGGGCTGCATGATGGAGGGGATATGCACGCACAGCACGAGGAGACAGGCAGGCAGGCAGGCAGCGGCTGGGAGGGGACCAGGGAAAAAGAAGCATATGCATGCAAGGCCGTGGGTGGGGGAGTGCAGGGTGTGTGCAGAGGGCATTGCAGGGGGCTGAGGGATGGCTCTACCCTGGTAAAAGAGCAGAGAGACCCAAGCAAGAAAATAAGGACCCCTGCAGGGATGTGGTCTCCACCAGAGTTGGTTTCCCAGGCGGAGGCAAGGGAGTTCCCCCTCAGCAGCTGGGTGGCTGGGGAGGCTGCAGACAGCCAGACGTGATGACTGGGGCTGGGAAAACCTCAGCATGGAAAGAAGAGGGCTACGGGCAATGGCAGCGAGAAACTTGGCCATGTCTCTTCTTAATGACGTAACACCAGTGGGGAGAGGGCAGGCTGCTCCCAGTGCGGGGAGAGCTGCGCAGGAGGGAAGGGAGTTAGTCCAGGCTGCAGGATCAGCCTCCTCCTCTCCAGCAGAGCCACTCAGCCCCGGCCACCCCAAGCAAGGAAAGACCTCCTCCAGAAAGACAGGTCCATTCAGATATGAGACCCTTTGGGTCCCAAGCACTCCCTTAGCCACTGTTCCCCTGCCAAAAATGCTTGGCACATCACTGATATTCACTCCAAGGGGGACAGGTCATGGTGGCTCTCCTTCCTGGGGAAGTCCCTGATGGTGGTACCAGGCTGGTCCCCAGCCCTGCTGCTGTTGCACCACTACCCCCAGGCAGAGTTGGGGGTCAGGAGGGGTTCGAGACCCCGCGATGTGCATGGCACAGGCATCTCCAGTGCTCCAAGACTGGAAAATCACAGCGAGAGACCAGCTCATCCACAGACCAGGACCATATCCACGTAGAGGGGGATGCTACAGGGAAATGGCTGGGCACAGGGACAGGGGAAGGGCTTCCCCCATGTGGGGAGGGCTGGCCCATCCCAGTACTGGCAGGTCACTGGTCCCAGTGCTTCCCAGTGCAGTGCCAGAGATCTCGCAGCTCCACCTGCTGGCTCCACAGCCAGGGCTGCAGAGCAGGGAAGGTGCTAGAGAAGAGGGACAGTTGGTGGGATGAGCAGGACAGGGCACTTAAGAAACAAAATCCACACGGCCCCTGGATCACGCAGGGTTTTCTTGTTATTTTGATTTTTTTTAACCAATAGCCTGCAGGTCACATGTATGAAAATGCAGGAGAATCTTACACCAGCAAAAAAAGCAAACCCACAGTGAGCTGCGTAAAAGGCCCTGCAGGACACAGCAGGGAGGAGAGCACCTGGGAAGCTGCGTAGCCAGGGCTTGATGCTGTGCAAGCTGCACCAGTGACGCTGGGTTTAGTTAATGCCTTTCCTTCAGCCCATCTTTCTTCCATTAATTCAGTCATGAAATCTTTTCTACCATGTCCATCTTCAGCATCAAATCATTTGCAAAGTCAGGAGGGGACGCTGCAGGTCTGGCCTTTGTTGGAGTCGTTTGCCAGTCGACAGCCTGAAAAACAATTTCAGTTTGGGGGTGGTTCACTTCAGCTCTTAGTACTCGCGGTGAGCAGCAGGTCCCCCAGTGTCTGTGTTTCTGCTCCGTGACCACCCAGGCAGTGTATGAGCCCCAGAGAACACAACAAAGAGTGAGCGATGCAGCTCAGTTTGGGGGGTGTTAGAAGGCCCCACCCCACCCCAGCAGCCGGCATCCCAGCGCAGTCGGGTGCCTGGTGCCACTAAAGCAGAGCAAGCTGGAAAGTTGATGTAGTTAATAAAAGTCATTCACCAGCAGCATTCCCTCTGAGCTGCTCATATGTACATAGAAAAGGCTTTGCAGAAATTAAAAAGCACAAATGCATCCTTGGGCTGAGGAGAATGTGCTTGTTTTATTCTTGCAAGTACACTCATCCTTTGCATGGGGCAGCTGAGGGTCATCTTCATGCAGAGTATGTCCCATAAGAAACGATCAGACCCACCAGGCTCACCGAGGCTGTGGGACAAGGCACCTGGCTGAAGGACCCCGGTGTGTCCCCATGCCCCCACGAGCATGGGGAAGCCTCGCCATGCCATGAGTGAGGGCTGACCTTGGGCACCCAATTTTCCAGATGCTCCATCAGCCCCTCCAGCCATCACCCCTGTTCCTCTTTGCAAGCCCCAGCTCCCACTACTTCTTGGTGAAATAAAGCAGGACGAAGATGAGCACTGCCAAAACACAGAGTAAAGAGCTGCCGATGCAGCAGCAGCATTTCCAGAGGAAGTTGCTGTTGAAGGGCGAAGGGCGGTGGGTTGGGGTTGCATAGGGCCTCATGCCCTGGCGTTTCAGGGTGCGATGGGTCCTGGCCTTGTCTGCATCCATCAAGGGTTCCCAGGCATCCAGCGCCGGGACCAGCCTCGACTCGCTGCAGACGCCGAGCTGGCATCCCTCACAGCGGGCGCTGTCATGTGGCCCCACCACCGGCGCGTCCACCACGACTTCCAGGAGGTCAGAGGGCTGGATGGGAAGGTGGTAGAAGTACTTCAGGATCTTTAGCACCAGGTTGTGCAGAAGCCTCTCCATGGTCTCCTGGCTGAATTCGGGCTCCTCCAGCCGGGGCTCGGGGCACCGCCTGCACGTCTGGCGAAAGACTCGCATCCACACTGTGCCCTGGCCCCGGCGCCGGCGCCGGCGCATGTGGAACAGGATGTGCACTTTGGCTGAAGACCATTCATGAAAGCACTGGGAGCACTGAAACCTGCCAGGGCATGGAGGAGACCAGCTCATCCCGGGCTCCCCGTGCCTTCCCATGCAGTCAGTAGGGACCAGGGCAGCCAGGACTGATGGATTAACTTCCCTCATGCAAGCTTTATACCAAACTGTCCTCCCCCTAACAGCATGATGCCAGTCAGGGGAGTTCGACACAGATGTGAGCTCAGGGCTGGCCCCAGTATTAAAGATTTTAGGAGCCAGGCTGCCTGCTGGGACCACCCTCGTCCCCTTTCCTAGCCCATTCTGGCCCCACTGCCAGGAGCAGGGGTCCTTGGGGCAGGAAGCATCAGGCCCCAAGTCTATTCGGATGTCCAGCCCCTCACCCATACCAGCTCATCACAGCTCAGCGGAAAGCCAACATCAAGCCCAGGGCCAGGGAAGTCAAAAAAAAGAAGAAAAATAGAAGGAAGGTGTGGGTGGAGGCTGCAGGGCAGGTGAGGAGATGTCTTGAGGAGTCGAAAGGTGTGTAACCCGCAGCTCTTCATCTTGCACAATCTGCGTGGGGGCTGGCAGCCAAGGCCTCTGTTTGCTGCCACCTGGGCAGGATGTCTGTCTGGTCGATGCCCAGGGTCCTGCCCAGGGTGGAAATGGTTGGGATGGGGCCTCTCATCAGCAATGCAGAGCCACAGCCTCCCGCTGCTCTGGGACCCCACAGCCTGGTGTAGATGCAGGGACTGCTGTGGCATCGCTCCATGTCCCAGCAGACAGTGGCTCTCCCTCTCCCCATCCTCTGGGTGCAAACCCAGAAGATCTGGCTCTAGTGTGGTATAACTACCCCTACTCACTGGAAGAGCTCTTTGTATCTTGACACCAATGCCAGCTGCCCTTTGCCCAGCAGCTGTATCTTGGCCAAATACCAGCTGCCCTTTGGCCCTGCGGAGCTGCCACACTCCCCTCCAATTAACATGATTTTTTTCCAGTTTGGCAATAACCCACCAAACTTGGAACAAAACGGCAAAACCCCTCCCAGCCTCACCCACCTCCAAACTGCCCCTTTCATGTCAATAGCTTTTTCCTACAAGCAAACTTTGAGAAAAGAAAAGGTCTGCATGGCAGCCCATCGTCCCTGGTCCTTCTCCAACAGGGACCGAGCCAGCAGCCCCCTACCTCCCGAGAGCACGGCGCTGCACAAACTCCTTCCAGCCAGGCTTGAGGACGTGCACCTGCAGGCTATTGTCCTCCTGAAGCATCCACGGCTCTGTTAAGTGCATATCTGCAATCTTAGCTGCAAAAATGTCCTGCCAGGTCCCCATGGTCCCGCCTGGAACTGGGTAAGAGGCAGTGACCACGGTCAAGCTTGCGGCTTCTGGGTGCTGATATATGTGTGCAACTTTCTCTTCCTCAAACTTTTCCTCTTTGCACGTCTTTGTGCTTGGAGAGGGGAACCTTTGCTCCCGCGTGAGCAGCACCGCCCCATCTCGATCCCTGTATCAACAGGCCTTGCTGACGCTGCACCAGGTCCCGGCTGGGTGAAACGTCCCCCAAAGCAAGGACAAGCTGGGTTTCCCCAAGTCTGACACATGAACTCCTGACCCTGTTGAAGCTGTGCTCTCGTGATGCTGCTCTGTCCATAGGCAGAGAGGTTGGAAAAGCAACCCCCTGCCAGGCTGCCCGTGCCCATCACTGTCACGGCAGCGGGGGCGAACCAGCAGAGGTTGTGCCCAGCATAGGAATAACTGAAGTGAAACCCACCGAAAACGCAGGACTCAGCAGCTGATAAAGCCACAGGTAGCCTTATCTCTCTCGATAGCTGCCACCAAGCGCAGGTTGTTTTTAACAACTTTCAGCCAACTCGAGCAGAAAAAGGCCTGAGGTGAAACTGCAGGGTGGAAAGTTGGGGAGGATGGCACTGCACGTAAAACCGAAAGAGGTGAGGTGTGGTCTGAGCTGAGAGCACCCGCGGAAGGTATAAACAGCAGGGCTGGGGCTGCCTGCAGCCCTCTGCCCCCCAGCTCACCCCTCTCCAGGTGCGCAGGTCCCCCAGGATGGCCCATGGAGAGAAATGCAGGACAGGGAGCAGGTTAGATAAGATGCCAAATGATATCTTGAGTTAGAGGAAGATCTGCAGCTTGATAAAGCAAGATCAGCTTGTCATGGAAATAAAACCATCTCATTTAGCGTGAAGCTTTCAGAGGAGACCATCCTGTGCACAGAGAGGGCTAAAAATGCCCCAAAATGCTCGGCCTCGGAGGAAATGTGCTGGGTGGCTGAGAATGAAGCCACCATGAAAAGTTATGGCAGCTCCTCGTGTTGAGTGCCCAGAGCAGCACCCAGGCTCCTAGAAGCAGGGAGGGTTTAACGCAAAGACTGAAGGATATTGAAGCCTGAGGTAGGACAGACCTCTGTTTAAAAAAAGGGCAGAAGGATCTAGGAATCAGGCTTAAAATACTTCACATTGGTTTCAAATGAAGTATGTCCCCATGGCAGCTCTTCTGGCGTGACACCCCAAAAGCCCAGGTGCCCCAGGCAGCAGTGCCAGTGGCTTGCTTGCCCTGGAGCCGGCTGGGGCATCGGGATTGCTGAGGATGTAGGTGATGGCACCTGTGGCCTCACAAGAGGGGCACAGTGGCTGCCAGCAGTAGGTAACAGCAGCTGTGAGGTCTTAAGAGACACCAGCACATCAGGCTGATTCTCCAGATCCCAAAAGGGAGGCAGGCGACATAGGTAAGTGCCAGTAACCATGTTTGCAGAGAGCCTCTCATCTTTGCTGCTGGAAGGGAAAAGCCAGCACGTCATTTGTACCAAGAGCCCTCCAGCACCTTCACAACTTGCGCTGCCCCTCCTGCGAGAGTGGAGGGAGGTGACAAGGTCCTGGGGCAGAGCCCATCTTCAGCTTCAAGGTTCTTCCCTGCTTTGAGGTCATTCCACCCTTAATTACTCCTTGATGCTTCGATCTGGAGCACGACTAGAGGGAAGGAAAGGAGGTTTCCTGGAAACAGAGGAGCCAAGCCAAGGTCTTTAGGATCCTTATGGAGAGCCAGCAAAGCCCTAACCTGTGGATAGGACCTGAGTCACCCCCTTCCCAAGAGCCCTGCCATGGGGACATGGGGTCCCGCTTGGGCTGGAGCAGCGCTCTGCAAGCAGGACAGTGAAGGAAGGGTTGTCCCACCAGCGTTTCCGATGCTCGCAGGTGGGGACCGCAGGACATCCCTGGCTCAGGTCTGGTACATGGGGAGGAAGAGAGGGAGCAGCAGATCTCTCTGGCCCCTCTTCTACCCCTTTCCCAGAGCATGGGACCCCCATTTCTATAGGTTCGCTATAGAAGACCCCTTCGTGCACCCCGCCACAGAGGGGTCTCCAGAGCAGCAAATCTCCTAGTGCAGAAAGCTGGCACCGTGCAGTGCCTGGCATCGCCGTGCCACAGCATGGTGTGGGGAACCATCAGCAGCAGGGTGACCTGGACGGGACCACCTGCCCTGCGGCATCTGCCCATCCCCTTGGACCCCTCTGTGTTAGGGGCTGAGATTTACCCAGGGGGTTGCTGAATGCAGGAAAAACCTAAAGGTTTTGACATCTCCCCTTTACTTCAGAGGCAGCCGCGCCTGTGTTAAACACCTTGAGCTATTTTGAGGAGGAGGAGCCGCCCAGGGAGGCAGCCCTTTCTCCTGGCACTCTCATATTCACCCAAACAAACCGATCGCTTCATCTGGGGGATCTGTGGTTTCAGCCCAGCCCTTCCTCCCCGAGGCTGCTGCCGTGGGGTAGAAGGATGCTCCCCACCAGGACAGACACTGCTCCCCATGCTGCCCACCCCAGGGGGCAAAACGCTGCCCCTCAGGCACGCGGCTCAATGGGGGTCCGGTCGCACCTCTGGCACGGGGACGGGCCCCTGCCTCCAAAACCCGGCTGTGATGGAAACCAGTCCCCCGTTACATCATGGCAACATAACTCAAATCACGACTCACAATGCGCCGAGCTCTCAGAGTCATCGGAGCCCGGCGCTGGTCCCTCTATTAAAGCCTTTGACTTGCTTTTACTAAAGGGACTTTCCCAGAACCACCCACAGAGCCGAACCTGCTTTGACGTCCTGTTCCATTTCACACACACCTCCCAACACTGCCCGAGCACCTTGCCACTTACCAGCACCTGCCTGGAAACAAAAGCTCCTCCTGCAGGTCCCCTCGCAGCCTGGCCTCTGCAGGGACTGGGGACAAGCCCTGTCCCAGCCCTGGCATGACCCCGCTGGGCTGGAGAGTCCCTGCTGGGGATGGACCCTGCCAGTCCTCTCCATCCCAGTGTGCCGGTTGTGGCTCCTCCACGGGATGTGTAAGGAGGCAAACGCAAGGCACCGCCTGGGCGGTGATTTCCCTGCTGCTTTCGCACAGCCTGAAATTATTTTTGACTTCAGCTCCCACCCCCGGGTGAGCCGCCCAGGTAAGAGGTGGAAGGTTTCCCGAGGCGCCTTATCCTCCTCGCCATCTCTCGTGTGTCAGACTCCCCGACCCCTACCCCTCCAGCTGAGGGACAAAGTGCCCAGACTGTCCTGCTTGGCCCACATGTGT